ATAATAGTAATAATAATAATATTAATAATAATAGTAATAATAGTAATAGTAATAATAATAATAATACCCAATTGAAACAATGATCTTACAGTTGGCAATAACGATAATCGTAATGAGCACAACATTAATAGTATAACAGCGTAACAGATGCAGTTGACTTTAATTCGTTTCTGTAATTTAGTGCAGTCTCGGAAATATTTTATCCTATATAATGGCTGCTTAAATATTCAGTGTGGCTATGAGGAAGGAACACTTTTTCTGCGGATAGCTGGTGGTGTGTTTGATATTGCGTTTGATATTTGAGTGGAGCGCAGTGGTTATTTGAGTTGTTGATTGTGGATGTGGCAAATTATGGATGTTTGTCTGATGGATTGACTTTTACAGGTATATGGAAACGAAGGCGACGGCTGGTTTGACAGACGTGAATATGGTTCGGAGTATATCGGAGATATTCGATGAGTGAGTTTTAATCTATAATATCTTGTGTCTTAATGATTTATATGAGTGTAATTTAGTTAAGTTTTCTGTATGGATTGCTCAGAAATTTGATGAGAGATGGTTAATGAATGTTTTTAGCGTACAGAGGCAAATGGAACGAAACGCTAGTGATGAACAGTCAGGTGGAACGTCATCTAGTCATAAAGTCAGTTAGTTTACTTTACTCATAAAGTTAGTCAGATTACTTGATTTGTCGGATAAATCGCACGTTATATGATAGCGTTTATTGTTAGTTTGAAGGTTCACATCAAAACTCTCCAAAAATTTCTGTTCAGAGTGATTGTTTCATTGATTTAGTATTTTTATGAGGGGTACACTTTGAATTTTGTGATTTGTAATTTCTCAGATGTGAAGATTGAAGTTGGCGACAACACGAGAAGAGTGAAGTTGCAAGTTTTATGCAGAAGTTGACACTATTGAAAGTTCAACGCTTTCTGAATTTTACATCTGGTTTATTTGAGAATGCCATGCGGTCTGAACTGAAAGCGAAAGCGTTCAAGTCGCAAGCCGAGAGTGCACGATCGAGGCGATTGGGTCGAGGGAAGACGGATGGTGGTGCTTCGGTTGGAGAGGGAGGCGAGAAGGCAGCGACAGCATCCGAGACAACCAGTAAAGTCGGTCGAGATTTGGACATTTTGTATTCGGTTGGTGAAATTTTGGTTGAAAATATGAATGGTAATAATAATGGTGATAATGAAAAT